ACACACACGCACACACACACACACAAGTGCTAACTCAATGACAACAAAGACTAAACTAAATTATGTGTTTGGCTGAATTGAAGAGGAAGAGCAGGGTGACAACAAATTGTGAACTTTAAATTTTAAATTTTACATGATTTAAACAACATCAGCGACAAAGAAGAAAATTCTCAAAGTAATCGACGCTCTGTGAGTTGTTGTGTGTGTGTGTGTGTACGAGCGTGTGTGCGACCAACTTGAAATGAGTGTCTCACAGCAGCAACAACAACAACAACAACAACAACAACAACAACAACAACGACAACAACGACAACAACGACAACAACAATGGGTTGTGCCGTGCGAAAGCGGAAACTTCAAAGCGCGCACACCTTGGCTTTGTGAGGAGGCTGCCCATCGTGTGGGCGTATGCCGAGGGCATGGCTGCTGGTTGATATGGTGATGTAAGGTCTGCTGGGCATACATATCATACATATTTTGAGTGCACCTGAGTGCGTTTGTGTCTCTGAATTAATTCGCTTGCGAGACTTCACTTGAGGAGCTTCTGGGTGACAACAGGCCACGGATAACTTTGTTGTCAATTTGGCTTATTTGATTTGAGCCTGTTCACGTTGTTGTTGTTGTTGTTGTTGTCATTTTATTTGCAGCACAATGATGTAAATAAAAGCACAACCCGATAACAATAACATTTTTTTGCTATTTTAGTTGCTCTTGGGACATCTCCAGACATCCTTTAGGTCTGTGCTATATCTGGCTTTGCAAATCGCTTTTGCCCTTTTTGCTCTTTACACTTCAGACTTGGAACTACGATATGGAAATTTGTTAAAGCAAAAAACTAAGTATTCCATTAATCATTATCTTATTGATATATATTGATTATATCCTTGCGAAAGTAACTAGTATCTTGATTGGAACAAGAGAATATAAATATTTACATGTTCCAATCAGGCTTGTTTCCTTAAATGCACAAAGCTGCAAACAGACTACTAATACTCTAACGCAGGAAATTGTTTTGCTAAGTGCAATTTTTCCCAAATAAATAATTATCAGATGTATCCTTGTTTGGAGGAATAGATATGTCCTTATGCAATGCTGTCTTTCCAATATTTGTACTTAGAAATATCCAAGCTTAACTGTTAAATAAGTCTAAAAAAAAAATACGAAGTTTCTGAAGTATTCTGGACAATTGCCAGCTTTTATTTTTTGATCATTTTCTCTTCGATAATTTTGAAAAATTCATAGTTTTGTAATACTTAGTAATAGGTTTATTCTAATAAGTTTTTCATTGACGCCCTCTCTCTCTCCCTCCCTCTCTATCCCTCTCTGTTTCCAGCAAAATGTGAGAGCAACAAGAATTCGTTTTACTTTGTAGATATGTATCTTGGCATGTGTCAAAAGGGGTTCTTTTTAAAGCCAGCTCCACAGTTCCTGTTGCTCTCTTTGTGTTTCTTTTGGTATGCTTTGCATTTTTTATATGCTTCTGCTGTTTGTTAGAATGTCTCATCAGGTTCTGCTTGACATTGTGCATAAATATTTGATTTCTGAATTTTGCGCGCACTTCACGTTTAACTCGGCCAAATTGTTGTAGTTCAGTGTGTGTGTGTGTGTGTGTGTGTGTGACTACGGAGATCTCATTAAATTCACTAAAATGCGTGAGTTTTTTCCTCTAGCTGCTGCCCTTTTCATGTTTTCACTGGGCAAACAATTCGTTTTGAGAAGTCCTTGGCCAAAGGATGCACGCTGTAATTTGATTTCTGACAACTGCTCCTAAAAGTCGTGTGCATGTATGTGTGTGTGTGTGTTGTGTGTGCGTATATGTTTTAGGGGGGCGTGTTTGATTCGCAGGATAAAGTTTGTTTGGATTTCTTAGCTTGCTCTTGAGATTGTTGTTTGTTATTCCTGCTGTTGCCGTGTTGCAGCAACAACATAAAGGAAAAGAGATTTTCGAAAAAAAGTGTGTCCTTGTCATATCTGTTATTGCATTTGTTTTGTCGCTCGTGCTCTTCGCTATTTATTTCTATACCCTTTACAAAAGTATTACATTCCAGCCACGACACGTGTGTATCATTAGGGCTCATATGTCAAGCTTGTAAATTCTATCAAGATGTTAAGATGTTAACAGATTCATATTTTGAAATATTGCCTTTAAACTAATTGTTAAAAAAAAATCTAATTAATTTCAATGATCTATGGGATTTTTAATTACACTCTCAGTATTACTTTTTGTATTTGTGCAAAATGTAAATATATGTAACAGGCAGAAGGAAGCATCGCCGACCCCATAAAGTATATATATTCCTGATCAGCAGCAATAGCCGAGTCGATCTAGCCATGTCCGTCTGTCCGTATGTATGAATGCAAGGATCTCAGAACCTCGAGAAACTCGAGAAATTTTAGATGTAGATGCTCCTAGTTCCCGCGATAATCGATAACTTACTCCGTTTCCAAGCAATCGATAAAAATCGATATCGATATTCTGTTTTTTGGGCAATTTTGGTAAATAATAAGAGCTACAGTCACCAAACTTGACATATAGCTTCTAAAATAGAATATATATATATGCATTTGATGTTGGAAGAAGAGGGAAGAGAAGGTATAGCTTTTGAAAATTGCATTATTAGGCTTAAAGTTTTTAGTTATCTGCAGAAGAATCAAAGCAGTTTTTTAGAATTCAGCAAAGACGAAAAATTATATAACATATTTATATTTATTCAAATAAAATTATATCTGACGATCCTTCTGTAACTTCTGTAAGAAATTAAAATTATAAACTCTGAGAAATACTCTTAAGAGTTTGAAGTTAATTTCACAAACTATGATTCTTAATTTAATTTTTTTAAATTTCATTTTAATTAGTTAAGGCTTTTCCTTGGGTCTTCAAAATTTAAGTCAGCCAATAAATTGTATATTCTCAACAGATTAATTTGCCAATTTATTGCTCTGCAAGGGTATTTTATGATCGATGTGTTGCACGTGTTCCTGCTCGAAAGGAGTCTAAGGATGCTCCAAATTAAATTCCCCAATTATATTTCTCTTAGCATTGCAGTTATATTTTGTTGTTAACTGTTTGTTATGCTTTTTACCTACTCAACAGCTACCTTTGGCATTCGGCTTTTGCCCAAAGCCAAAACAAATTGAACTTTTCACTTTGTAAATGTCATGGAGCAGCTGCTGCTGTTGCAAATCTTCAAATTGAGCATGGAAAAGATTTAATTCAAAATAAACAAAACTTATTTTCAAAAACAATTTGCATAAATAAAAGATTTTAAAATTGCTTTCAATATGGTTTCAAAAATAAGCGTTGGCTCGAAAAGTTCTGTTTATTTATTTAAATTTTTGGGGCAGACATTTGAAATTGAATTGTTTTGTAAGTATTTTTTCCTACTTATTTACAGTTTATATATGCACTAGCTTGTTTTTTCCCGGCCAAGTTTCTTGCTCTAATTTAAACTAAATGAATATTAAACAAAAAGTTGCATACAAGTGTTTAAACTTGCCTAAATCCCGTCTTAGCATGCCCCTCCATCAAATAAGTTAACAATATAGTCAAAATGTCAGCTCCCTAGATCTTTGGATCTTTCGATTTGGATAACGCATTGATCATCTATCAATCAGTTAGTTTAATTATCATGTTTTAACAGATACAAGTTAAGGAATTTGATATGAGTATAAAAATAAATAAAAAGAGTTAGAGCATTTATTGTATAATTTCTGCATTTATTATGTCCTGGCAGAGGGTATTATAATTTTGTCGTGAAATGTGTAACGCATAGAAGGAGACATCTCCGACCCCATAAAGTATATATATTCTTGATCAGCATCAACAGCCGAGTCGTTATAGCCATGTCCGCCTGTCTGTCTATCTTTATAAACTTTGCAGAAGTCCCTCTTTCTGTTGCACGCAGCACATATGTAAAAACCAGCTGGATCGGACCACTATATAGATATAGCTGCCGTAGGAACGATCGGTCGAAAATTAAGTTTTTGTATGAAAAAACATTTTGTTTATCAAGATATCTTGACCAAACTCGGCATTTATTAGTTTTACTATACTGCTCATATATATGCAAAATCCTATTAAGATCGGACCACTATATCATATAGCTGCCATAGGAACGATCAGTCGAAAACTAGGTTTTTGATTAAAAACCTTTTTTGATTATCAAGATATCTTGACCAAGCTCGGCATTAACTATTTTCCCTGTGCTACTTAGATACGGGCAAAGCACTATAAGAATTATGAAAAGGTTGGCTCTGCAAGGGTATTAGATCTTCGGCGTGCCGAAGATAGCCTTTCTTTATCGTTTTAGTTTAGTTAAACTCCCAAGCTGAGTTCTAGGTTATTTGCATATAAAGCACATACGTCTACATTGAAACGCAGCCCACTTAAAATTTGATACCCTTTTTATTTTTGTCAAATATATATTTTGTATCGAATGCACCCATATCAAAAAGTGCTCAGAGCCGTGCTGTCAACTTTTAGAGGGTGAACTTTTCCAACTGAAACTTGGCCAAGTAATCAATTCAATTTTCGCCCAAATTGCCGCGCCCAGTTTGGGGCATTAATTGGCAAAGCGATAAAGTCAAAACGAAGACAATTTTGTTCATCAAATTTTTTTTTGGGTAATTTCTGAAATTTGTGTGTTTCTTGAACATTTTCTTGTTCCATAGATGTTGTTGTTGCCAAAGGTTTTTGTTGTTTTGTACTTGCGGCTGCCAAGTTTGGATATCTTTTGGCGATAAAAACAAAAATGTCACATTCAACTTTTCTGACAATGTTGACAACCGCAACAACAACAACAACAACAACAACAACAACAACAACAACAACAACAACAACAACAACAACAACAACAAAAGCAACAACAAGCTGAGTTAAGAAGAGTTAGCCGCAAATCTGCCACCGAAAGTTGGTAGAAAATCAGTTAACGCATTTGAATTTGTTTGACTTGGCCTATATTCGTTGCATTTGATTAAAATGTTGTGCTGTTTGTACCTACCAAATCGGTTTGGGTCATTATCCTTGTGTTATCCTTGTTTTACTGGGCGCTCGTGTGTGTGTGTGTGTGTCCTTTTTTCGGCACCTCATCGATTAGCCAAGTGTTGCCATGCAACAAAGGCGGCCGCTTTCGATCAGCAGCGGCACACACAAAACACACAGGGCAGGGTGGAGGGAGAAACCGCATAAACTACACACCGAACCGGAGAGGGGCGCGAGGTCAGGGGTCAGGATATGCTTGCCAGGATTGTCGTAGAGACCGCAACGTGAGGACACAGACACAAACCAAATGGTGACGAGTGTACAGCAAGAGGCTTTTGTTTATGTTTTTCTTCTGGCAGGATAATGCCGCATATCCTGAGAGCTTGTCAACAAATCAACGTACAATTTTGCCCACAGCAATTGAGTCCTTTTCGCGCTGGTCGCTGGTTCGAATACACGCGACCACTCAAATGCAGGCAATGGCTGTTGCAATTTCAATAATAACAATTAGGTTTGTTTATTATAATGATGATGCTGCTGATAACAGTTAGATTTCACTATTCGTATGACACGGATCAAAGCTAAACGGAGTTCAGCTGTCACCTGCGACAACGACACGACCGACTGCTTGCACGGCTCGCCGTCAACTGGTCCCGCCTCGAGGTTCGGGCTGACGCGTTGCGCGAGACCCGCAGCGACAAAGTCTGGGATATTTGTCGCTAGCTGCATGTTATTCACCACACCCAACCAAATGCAACTTGGGGCTGTTCTCTCTCAAGCTCTTGCTTGCGCGCTCACTGCCTCTCTCGCCTTCGGCTTGCTGTTGTTTCCGCCGTGGTGAGTTTGCGCCAGGAATAATTATGAAATTCGTTTTGAGGTTTGTTTTCATTTTGCCGGTTTGTTTACGTTTTTGCCTTTTCACCTCAGCCGGCTTTTCAACCTTTTGGCATGTGACCAAGGCACATGCAATTTTTGCTGAAGATCCACAAAATAATATCACATATTGGGAACATCCATACCTCCCATAATTGAAATAACATATTTTCAAAGCTAAAGGCTTTGGTATCGTCTTGCTTATGCTATCAATTAGTTCAATATGTTGACTTGGAAAGTAATTGTTCTTACATATGCATGTCTAAGCCCGATTTCTTACATGGTCTGGCTAATCAAAGGTATCCCATAGTCAATCGATTTATCAACAATAATGAAAACTGTTCGGGCGGTCTTTGTGAGGGGCAGGACCGCAAAGCCAGCTGGTTGCCCGAGAGTCCGTACAAACAAATTTGGTCGTATTTCGACTGGCTCGGCTTATTAACAAGAAATGCTTGTTTTATTGCAGGACATCGTAACCGCAGGAGCCAAAGACACATCGCAGCAACAGGAGGAAAGGTAGCAAGGGAACGGCAGCAACAACTGGTATAGACAAAGGACATCAATTATAATACGGGCGCAAGCTGAACAACACAAGGCACGCCCAACATGCTGGCGACAACAACTACAACAACATCGGGCAGGACATCGAAAGCCACAATTACCTCAGATCCGGGCATTCTGTGCTTTCATCACTGCAACGTGAAAGTCTTCTGCTTCGTCCTGCCCCACACTTGTCCACATTGCAATGAGCAGCTGAATGCGGATGCCAATACGCTTCCAGACACATCCGGAGCTGGGAGCAGCAGCTCCATGACTGCTGCGATGCTGCTGCCCTTTCGGTTGCCCTATCCATTTGTGCGGGCCACGCAGCATCCTTGCGCGATTGTCCTGCGACCCTCCGCGGGCGACTTTCTCAAGTGAGTACCTTATAGGCATACGGATGTCCAAGGGATCCGATGGAACTACCGATTACTATAAAAAGAAAGTTTAAAGCTAATCAGATGAAAATCGAAAAACAGTTTCATCCTTTTTGTCACATATGAAATGGGCTCTTCGAAATCGCCGATGAGTTGAAAGATTGCGAAAATTGGAGACTTCAAAATGGGAAAATATGTATGTTTGAGTATAAGACAAGTTGCTCGTCTGGAAAATTGCAAAAATCAATGTATCCCATAGTTTTCGAGCTCAACTCTCCAAATTTGTCAAGTACTCTGCAGTCTAATAGAACTCGAAAATTCGAATTCGAAATTTCCAACGTGTACTTTTATAAAAAGTCCCTTAAAATCGAAAATAATCTAGTCTTGTGTTATATGTAGCACACTTTTGGTAGTTGATCAATTGTTTATGGATAAAAACTTAGCTAAAAGTAGCATATATATTTTTGAATAGGGAAAATACCCTGTATAAGTTAGAGTTGCAGCTTGTGGAGGAGGCTTAGCATGAAGGAGTATGGAGTTGCTGTGTAAGCCCAGATACCAGAAATTGTTAACAATTTTTGGTGAATTTTTCGCTTTTGCATCTGCAATATGCAAAGTGTGTCTGATGCGTTTTTGTGTGTTTCCGCAGCGATTACAGCAACGCCACAGATTTGCATATCGCGGTGACCACATCCGGCGGCGACATTGTCGAATTCGATAGGGACGGACTGCAGCGGCATCGGCGCGACGATAATCCCCGCGACTGGTGGCAATCGCTGCTTGTGGGCGATGTTCCCGAGCCCTGGCACTACTACTGGGACGAGGTGCTTGAACAGGTGAGTGTGGCTTGTGTGTGCACCCCGCTCTGCTCGGATGCCTCCGGTCCCGGTACACAGGAATTGCATGCAAATCTCTAAGCTGCTTCTGCCCCGATAGATTTGTGCGCAGTCAGCGCGCTGGTCCATTGAACGCTACGAGGAGAGCAGCCACAACTGCTATACCTTTGTGCTGGCCTTCCTGCAGTCGCTCAACTATGCCCAGCTCAGCGAGGCGGCCCGCACCAAGACCAGCTTCTGTGAGAAGTTCATTGTGCCCCGAACGACCACGGCTGGCAAATACATATCGCTATATCGCCGGCTGCGCCTGGCAGGCGTTCATGTGCATCGTCAGCAGCCCAAGCAACGGCCATCCAAAACGGACGAGGATCACAAATTGGCCAGCACAAGAGCTAACACGAACAGCTTTGTGTGCGGACATATAGGAACACGTTCTCATCTACGTCAAACACTCGGCACCATCGAAGAGTAATCGATAGCTTTACATAAAATTGAGATGGCACTATCGATAGCAAAACTTATCGATGACAGAATGGGTAAATGATGCACAAGGGTTTTGTTCAAATGTCTGTAACAGGTAGAAGGAATTATCTCCGACCCTATAATATATATATATAGTCCGAGTCAATTCCGTCTTCCGTCCGTCTGACTGTATGCATGAGCACGACGATCTCAGCGTAAGTTCTCACAGTTCCCGCGCACGTGTTTGTTTCCGATAAACGATAACTGTCCACGTTTACAAACAATCGATAATAAGCGATATGGAAATCATCGCTTAGTTTTTTTTTAAGCTAGATTCACCATTTGCCGCACCAGTTGCCACTTAGCTTCTATTTTAGTATATATGTCTTTCAGCAGATCAATAAGTCCAGAATCATCACTATCGATACTTTTGCAGCACAAATCGATATCCTGCTCGTGTCCTTGGTTTTATTACTTCGTAGTTGAAAGCAGCGAAACATTAAATAGTTATGAGGGGACATTTAAAAGGTTATTTACATTTTAATTATACTTTAATTGACAAATCTTATTGCTGCTGACTTCTGTCGGGATGCATTATCGATAGCACATTATCGATAGCTTAGCAGATACCGTTAATACTATTCATAATACTATTTGCAACACTATTAAATATGCTTCATTCATATTTCAATTTAGTTACTTTGTTCCTACAGTATATACAGAACTTTGTATAATTCACAAAATACCAGATACTTTGACACAGAAATTTCAATATTTTATTTGATTTATATGTAAATGATATTTGCTTAAAAGTTACATCAAATATTTACTCGGTCTAACTATGACCTTTACTTATTTTTGTTTTACTTGTCTTTAATTAGGAATGTGCGAAATGATAAAATTGTATTTAATGTGATTTTAAATAGTGATTTCAAAATAAATTATGTAATATATTTTATAAAGTTTTAAATGTTTTTAGTCAATCTGAAGATCTCTCTTAATCAAAAAAAAAAAGAAAAACACCAGTGTAGAAAAATTGTGAAAAAAAGTGCTCAAAAGTTCTCTTATGTGTCATGCATATTCCAATATGGTTAATTTATATATATAACTTTGTATATTCACATTTTTTATTTGATTTAAAGGTAAATGATATTTTTTTATAGGTAACAGAAAATTGTCTTCAAGCGGTGTAACTATAAATAAATCCCGATGTCCACGATAAAGCCTGAAGATACCACCATCATCAAAGCTATCCGTGTCTCTGGGCAAAGCGACCAGTAATCTTGCCTCTTATTATTAAACATTTATATTTATATATATACAGATAAACAATAATATTAGACAATTCAATATTGTTATGAAATCTCACTATGGCGAATATCGTATATGTAACTAACGCCATCTATGAGTCACGATCGGCGCTGCACGAGCGTGACCATTTTCTATTCCCAACAAAGTCTTGTTAGAATTTCCCTGTGTAATTACACAACAGACACTGTGTAGCAGACTTTAATTGTAACAGTTAGAACAGCTGACTAAGTGACATAAAGATTCCGAGCGAAAACTACGTTGAGCTTGATTTGCAAAGCCCATTAATTTAAGCCTGTTTTTCAATTATCCCAAATACAAATCAGCTGGCTAAGCATATGTTTCCTCGGGAGTTAATTAAATTGCGAACCCACCATGAAATCGAAATCGTATGAGAGAGAAGAGCCCCGCTGCAGTTTCGCCGCTTCATTTGGCAGCTTAGCTCCAAGTTACGCGGAAGTTTTTTGTTGTGGCTTTTTTTTTTTGTGCGATAAAAATAGTTATATTGCGCGACAAGTTGTAGAAATTATAGTGAATAATATATTTCATAATAGAAAACAGCTGCGTCGCGCATAATTCTTGTAAATCTATTTTTTTGTCAGCTTAATGAAGGCGCATGAAAGTTTCAATATGGAATTCTTTTTGCAATTTTTTTATGTGATTTTTTTCTTTTCATAAACCGTTGCAGCGATCGCCATTTTGGTAATGAGAGCCAATTTGAAGTGTGTGTACGGAAGAGAACAAACAAGTGAGAGAGTAATTAGATTGAGAAGAAAGATAAGCAAAGATGACAATTGTATTGTGTCTTTTTCTTCTTCTTCTTCTTTTTTATTCTAAACAACAATTCATCGTCTATGGAAGCCGCATGGCTGAGCAAGATGGATGTCATGTACGTAAGTAGCATAATTAGTTTATATAAAAAACTTGCCCAAAAAACATATAAAATATGCACACTGAAAGAAAACAAATTGAGAATGTTTACTAATTGAAAGAAGTTATAAAAGGCTCGCAAATATAATATGGATATTGTTAAAGTTTTGCCGAGCTGAAACTGTCTATTTTTCTTATTGGAATTTAATAATTTCCGATAAGAATAATAATTATATTTTAATGCCAACCTCTATTTTTGGCATGCATTTTAAAACCTTTTATATTTGTGTTAACAACTATAATTTTAGTTGCTGTCACTAGTCTCTGTGGGATAATATATAGTTTTAATTTATTTTATGTATTTTTTTTGGTTTATCTCAAAAATGCGGTTTATTATAATATGAGCTTGTGTTTGGCAATCGATTTTCATAAAGTTTATATAAGGATTTGTGTCAAAAGCTTCCATGTGAAGCTTCAATTAGATGGAGGGCTGACGTTCTCACGGTACATGTTATTATAGTTGCCAGGTGGATCATAGTTGCATACGACGTAAATTGTGTTGCCGCTGCAAGAGGAAGTGGGAAGTGGAGGCTGGTTAGCTTGGAAAGACAGGAGATCCTATTTGTTATGCTCACCGTCGAGCAAATCCTACACCTAGCCGCTTGGAGGATTTCCAAACCAGCTGGGTAAAGTGGCCAGTGTTCATTTGAAACGAAGGGGAACGCCAATTGTAGTCATTGATCTCATTGTACCAGGAGTCAACTGCATCGGCACCCCCCAAATTACCACCCGAAGCCATGTAGATGTTCTCTCCATATCCGCTGTTTTGGCGATGTTCCATGCGATTGTTCCCCAGCAGGTGCTGCATTGGTTATGGCAAATTATTAGATATATCGAGACATCGCTGGATCATAACGATAGTTCACTCTGTACCTTAGCCCAGCTGGTGGCCAATTGGGATAGATTGTCGTCTAGCTCCAATGGAGGCGCATTATGCTTAGCTCTGTAGGCATTGTGGGCCTCAAGCACCTCTTGTTCGAACTGTAATGGATCGGTTTTCATTTCTTTTTTTTTAATATTTAATACGCGTTTCAGCTATTTCTTAAAAAACACCACAAAGATTGGGAAATGCGTTGGGAAGTATGGCATGAAGCATTTTGGTTTTGTACTGGATCTTATGAGATCTGTAATATAATTTATTAAGGACTTTTAGGAAAATGTAATCCCTTTAGGCTGAAGATGAGTACAACATTTAAATTTGGTTCAGTTGACATCAAACTTGTTTTCGTAATTATGGATGGCTTATTATTCATCCGATCGCTACAACTCACCCACCGATTTTGTTTATCCGATTGACTTACTTTTAAAGAACTATTTAAGGTATTTTAAGCAGAAAAAGCACGGGTACATATAAGTTTGCACAGAGGCGGGGCTCGGATGGTGCGGAAAATAGTTAATCCCGGACAGAGAGGATGTATTTGATTTAGGAAGCGATTATCAATATGAACATTGCCTCAATACCACATCCTTACACTCTCTTCGGAATCATACGCGTATCCTGGTTGGGCAATTGCTTGAATGACTGGGCCACTCAGACAGCCGATTATTATTAGTAGTATGCTTACAGCCTGAACACTCATTTTGCCTCGAATACTTTGCAATATTGTTTCAGTTATTATTTAATTAATGCTTCCAATGCACTTGCTGTTTCCAGACTTATTCAAACCAGACTGAGTAGCTTGAGCCGCCAACTCCGGCGTTTTATGCATGTTCTCATTTGCTGATAAGGCCCACAGAACCGAACATAACTCGAGCAAATTCCCTTGCCCGCTGACTAATCGCGTTTATCAGCGGGTGTGTTGCACATCCGCGCACAATGCCCCACTTTTGTAGTGTAGTGCTTACGTGACGTAGACTTGGCTGGAATAGATTTCCTTAAACTTGGTATCTGGCGAGTGCTCTATAAAATGAAAGGTAGACGTGCAGTGATTGCTCTTCTGATGAACAATATACGACTTTTCGAAATGTATATATGCTATTTACAGTTACAGTCATTATTTACATGAATATAGAGTAGATAATTGGGTTAGCCGATATATAATTTTATGGTGATATTAAAATTTTATGGCACAATATTAACTTCAAAGGCGGCGGGCACCTCCAAGTCGTCTTGTAGCCATATTGTGTTCATAGAGCAGACGACTTCCAAGTTCGTATTAAGGTATGCTCTGGCCTCGTTTAAGACGGGCTGAAATGGGTATATTGGCTTGGTGCAAAAATGCCTTAAATCCATATCCATCCATACATTCGTCTGTACTAGCGTGCTGTCAAAAAAGGTTAACTTTCAATCCCACTCGATGATTAATAAAACGTGCCTTTGCCCAGACCTTTTTGGGCCTTTTTCTAAACTTTGCTAAGAGATTATTTGTTGATAACAGCAAAGATAATCTAAACACTATATAACTTCATAGTGAAAATCATAAACCCTCCATCCCTACAGCTTATGTGGTTAACATGAATGAATCCAATGGAACAGTGGAACATACATAATGATGTCTGGATAGCGAGGGATTTATACAAAGAATCGTTGCTTTCTCTGCCCTTGGGATAGTCAAGTTCGCCATGAGCATTACTTAGGGAATGACGGGCGCCTCTAGTGAACGTGGATACATAATATTGCTACCTATGCTAAGGGTACTGAAGGCAAAGCACTAGAGTATCTGAACACTGTCTGCCCACTTTTATCTATGGCAAAAATTATAGAAGACGTATTAGGTGACCCACAGATTCGAAAGCTTTTGGGAAGTGAGAAGTTAGAGTAAAACTTGTTGAGATCAGATGAAAAAGCAGCTTGCGACTCATTCCCAAACGTGACACGGCACACTTTTGTAAAAATTGTTCAAAAATGATGAAACAATTCTTATTGTCACTAAAAGTCCGTTTTCTACATCACCCTTTCGACATTTTTCCGCAAAAACTTAGATGAACTCATAGATGATACCCATTAATTAATCATTAAAAATGGGGTGACTTTAAATGTGAATGAATAATCTATTTATTCACTAGCTTTCAGGACCAAAAAGGCTTTTTATACCCTGAACCCATTAAAAATGGGTATAAGGGTATATTTTATTTGTGCGAAAGCCAAATGTATGTAACAGGCAGAAGGAAGCATCTCCGACCCCATAAAGTATATATATTCTTGATCAGCATCAATAGCCGAGTCGATCTAGCCATGTCCGTCTGTCTGTCCGTCAGTCCGTCCGTATGTATGAACGCAAGGATCTCAGAACCTATGAGAGCTAGAGAAATTTTAGATGTAGGTGCTCCTAGTTTCCGCGCAGATCAAGTTTGTTTCCGATAATCGATAACTTACTCCGTTCCCAGCAATCTATATCGAAATCCTGTTTTTTGGGCATTTTTGGTAAATAATAAGAGCTACAGTCACCAAACTTGACATATAGCTTCTAAAATAGAATATATATATATATGCATTTGATGTTGGAAGAAGAGGGTTCAGGGTATCCCTTAGTCGGGAGCTCCCAACTAGAACCTCTTACTTGTTAAAATTGGGGATGAGATTCTTGCGCAGTGAAAATGAAAAGTCCAAGTTCACCTGAAAAAAAAAAATAACAAAATTAAAAATGACCTAGTTTTATCAATGTTAATAACTAATAAGAATAATTATAAATAATTTCCATATTATTATTTTTTTAAAAATAATAAGGTTTTATTTCTATGTTCATCATAATTCATTCTTAAAACGATTCATTATTGCGATTTTTTTAATGATAATTAAATATTCATTATTTCATCAAAATGCTAATGTCGATTATGTGCATATGTAAACTTTCATTTGTCCGGGACAACTTCGGCTAATTAATATTTATTAACCGCAAAATAAGATAAGGGTATTAGGACTTCGGCTTAGTCAAATAACTTTGCCAATTTGCATAATGAAATCAGTTGTTATCTTTGGCAGAGGGCTAGCTTATCAACGTGGATTTCACCTTTTGCGGCGTACATTTTGTAAATATTTACAATAACACTTGCGAACAAGTGGCGCTATTATTCCGAGAATATAAAACCCGGGGGCTACTTTATTGTGGTGGCACGGTGGCGCACTGTGATTGTGGCTTGGTCGTGGAATAAGGGCGGATTGTAAAGTTATAGAATATACAATCCAGCTGATGGAATGTGAAAAATCGTAAGCTATTTATTTCGGCTGCTCTGAATCTTTGCGCATCTATCAAAATGGACAATGCATTTATCCTTTTCAAAAAGAATGTGCTCTACTTTTAAAGCAGAATAACCACGCCCACTTATTGGGAGGCAGGCGACAAGCAAATTAAAAATGTCAAGTCAACCCCCGCCACATTCGCCCGCCCCTTTCGCCAAAAAAAAAAAGCAGACGACGGTAGCGACAAAGCGTTTGACATTAGTTGAGATTTTTCAATGGTTGGCAACGTGTCGAAAAGTGGGTGCTTCTGGCGGGGATTGGGTGCATTACGCAGCCATAGAAAGGCTTGGACCGGACGCTGGTATTGAGGTCTTTCGCTGTGTCTGCCGCAAGGTACAAAGTTCGCTGCAAATACCCAACTGATAATAAGTATATAGAACAATGGGCCAACGAATAGATACAAACGAATTCCCTCAACCGCACTAAGAGTTGCTCAAGGTCTGTGCTGAATGGCGGATTCTCTGATTTCTGTTCCATTGCGAGACTGCTGATAAAAATGCACATTTCTTTTCACAGTGGCTTTTGTTGTTACGCCCTTTATACAAAACGTTTGCCATTTTAATTAAATAATAACATTTAGAAAGACCTATGACTCTCGATAAACTCATTTCCTACACATTTGACTCATATAGCCCCAGTAAGTGCTGCGACATTGAAAATCACTTGTTTGCGTGCCCCATTTCAGGCACACCCATTTCTCGCGTAATATACGATACATATGGGTGTGCGTTCAACACACAAAAGGGCCATATAATGTGTAATTGTGGCATGACATTGCACCACTTTCACATTCGCCATTTGTAGTCAGCCGATTGTATTACAGTTGTCAAATCGGAGCAACGGCGACAAATATTAGATAACTTATTAGTTAGATATTTGCTGATCAGCTTTGAAAATTAAATCCAATGTGCTTTGTCAAAGATTTCGTAAGCAGCTTTACTATTTCATTATTAAGAGTAAATCTCAAGCTTTGAGTTTTCGACAATATATGTTTCTATATATTGCCAGGATAATAGATAATAATGATTTCAACAATATTAATATTTGAGAGTGAGAGAGTGTCTTTTTCAAGCCTGCAGCTATAGTTTTCCAACTTATTATACTTGAGCGATCATACTAAGCATCCTTAATGGTTGAATTCAATAACAACATCATTATTATACCCCAATGGACAGAATGATGACAGCAGCAACCAGAAAACTTTGTTGGCTCAAGACTCATAAGCAAAAGTTTGCGCGAGACAAGGCAGAAAACTTATTTACTTCTAGATTACGTGTCCTCAAAGTTGGCAACGATATTATAAAATTTATATGCACGTTATGCGTGCCATCCAAGATGAAATGTCCCGACCTGGCACAAGGAAGATGATGAGCTCGCTGCTCATCAAGCAGAATGTAATTACATTTTCGCCTGATTCATGACAGTTTTGCATAACGAAACCGCCTCGTGCCGTGGATATTACGATTATTAATGAGACTGGCGCGAACATTAGCCACAAAAGGCTCAGCGCCAGGAAGACAGCCAGCAAGGCTCTCGCTAGACATATGCATTTGGGGCTTAATACTGTTCTATCAACCAAATTGTTTTGCCACCATCAAATATATTTTTGTTCAATTATAATAATTCTGGCATTTGCCGAAACGACTTTGCCCCCGTGCGTTTTGGTAAAATTTACGCGTGCTATATAGAAATAAATTTGGAAATCTAGAAGAAATAACCCGTCGTCGCCGGGTCAAATCTTGATTTCGACTGAAACGATTTCATTCGGCCCGATTTTGCAGAGTTTATCAAATATATACATACTTTTTTTGCGATGTTACTTTTGAATTTAACTCCTACTTAGTTCTAAGAACTTGTTACTTGAACTTGAACAATATGCTAGATTGATAAATTGTTTATTTACTTCTTTTTAAGATTTTTCTTTATTTTTTTCTATAATTTACACCAATTAATTACAACACTTAATAGATTCGATTTGACTTCAATTTGGTTGCCTTCTTTTTCAAGACTTTCTTAACTATTTAATCTTGTCTCTTTTGTGACTTAAGATTTGAATAGTGAAAGGAGCCCTAGCCTAGTCCGAAGTAGTTTTAAACATTTAAACATAAGCGCATGTTGTTGCTTTTAATTTGTTAAAGGTTAGACTTTACGCACAATTTAATGCTATTTTAATTATCAGCTCAGCTGCTTTAATCTGCCGCCATGTCAGCGCCGCGAAATGCATTGCAAAATTGAATTGCAACAGGACATTCAGGATATATTAGGTACATGCGTCACTTTGATTATTATATTTAAGGCTGGCAGCAATTTAAATGTTAAAACGACAGTTGATAAATTCACACTGGATCATTCAAGGATTGTTGCGATTACCCAGTGCATTCGCTAGCATTGTGCTAATATTTATGCCAATGAGTTTATGTTTACATTATTTATTATATTGCTGCCTGGTTTTAAGCCTAATGCTGTACCATTCGACCTTACAAAATTAG